TACTTCCTCTCTATGTTGAACATGCTGTTAGACATGTTTGGGTAGGAGATGTATATTTATTTACTTTTACGTTGCATTTATTTCATACTAATTGAGTGGTAAGTGATGTTAATGTATTTATTTTTAGAGGAGTATGGAACTGAAAATTTATAAACCATGCCATGAAAATTTTAAACTTGGAACAAAATACAGATGCATGGTTTCAAGATTGTGTTTGCTACTCTAGGCTGACAGGTTTATGTGCCACTAGACATGATCATTAACCATGGCATGTTAGTGGATTTTGTGGAGAAATGGCACGAGGCTACATCATCTTTCCATATCCCTCATGGTGAGATGTTCATCACCCTTGATGATGTCTTAAGCCTTTGACATATTCCAATTAGGGGAAGATTACTAAAACATTCCCAAATAAACAGAGGCGATGAATTTGAATTGATGGTGAATTTGTTATGAGCAAACCCATGTGAGGCTCAAGAGAAGCTTGATGCCACGAGAGACACTCATTTCCGATTTTAATACCTAGCAAACCTGTAAGAATATTGCATGGGGGCGAAAGTGGAAGTTGAAGGTGATGATGAGCAAGTTTTGTTCCACATACAGTGTTCATTAGAGTCATACTTCATATACTTGGTTGGCACGACAATATTTATGGACAAAGTATAACCTACATTTTTGGACAAAAGTGCAACCTGCGCCGATGTAGTCTACATGACATACTTCACTGACTTAGTGTGGATCCACAGGTTGAACTAGGGGCTGCGTGTTTGGTTTATCTGTACTCCAAACTAGATGAAACTTATCTTTGGAAGACAAGACAAATTATTGGAAGCTTCACACTATTTTTGGTAATTTACTAATTTATTTTCAATTTTTACTATTAGTAATAGTTTCATAACACTTGTGTTACACTTGTTACTAATATTTTATCAGAACCATTTTCAAGCGTGGATCATCTCTCACTTTCCTTGCATAACCGGATGGCAACCTATCATGGACTACACAGGGGATTGGCCACGTGTATGCGCCTTTGTCTCGTTCAAAGGGAATTAGGTTATAAATGTGCTATGGGTGCTTGTTGACAACACAATAGCATGTGGCATATCCTTCTGCCCGTACGAAGGTCACCGTCAGATGCGTCCCTTGAATAACATAGCCTTCCATTATGGTTGGTCAACTTGTGTGTCGCGCATGATGTATCCAGATCTTCCTGAGCAAGCCATGCGCCAATTCAAGTATCTTTAAATTATTCTAAGACCTCCATCCATGTCTGCTCCTCTGATAATTAGCTGAAAAGATCTTGATGCCACACTCGATGATTGATATAGTCATTTGGTACTAGATGAGGTACACAGAGTGACAACTCCTGATCCTTGGGCTGCTGCAGATACATTCATACATGACATTAAATGCAACCGAAACACCACCTAGACTAGCCCATCAGGAGATATTGAAAGATGAACATGCTAGGGATGGTCACACCAATGACTTGTTGTCAGTCTGTCGTCATATAGTGACGATTGCGAGAGAGGTCATAGAGAAAGGGGGTTTTGGGGAAATTAGTTCTGATATGACCGTTGTACGAGCCATCTTATCCGAGACACATAACTTCTTGAGGTACAGGCGAAAGAGGAGAAACATGGGAGTTAGATATACATAATAACTTATTTTTATTTGTATTTTGTAACACTTATATTTTTATTTGTATTTTCTGAGAAAATTATGTACCATGGTAATATTTGAATTTGTATTACTGCTTGAATTTATATATGACAACTAACAAGGTGTTATTAAAATTATGCATAATATTATTGTTTAAATTTGTATAATTCGCATTGTGTTAATATATCAATTTCGTCTAAAATCATATTTGGTGTAAATGATCTAAAAAATATCAATATATGATAATTGCTATCATGGCAAAATCTCTCAAATGCTTTTAAGAGTATTCCGTATATTCATCTAAGAAAACCTCCCCAAGAAATAACGAAGAAGAATTTCTGATCCTTTTTTTTTACAAATTCAGGGTGGATGTTTCATTTGTAAAGCACAAAATGTTTTCAAGAATGAAACAAAAGATGCATCTTTATAAATATTCCATATATGCATCTTCGAACCTGTTTTTAATAGAGATGTGGTGGAAGACACGCTTATAAAATATTGTGTGCATTTTAGATGTATTCAAAAATTAATCTTTAGAATACAAAAAGATAAATTTAAATTTTCTGTGTGTCCACCCGAGGTCGGAAAAGTAAGAGAATTTCTTACCCCACCCTTTGGGGTTCTTACGCACCATGTGCGTTTCTAAAAATGCTTCCCTGTTTTCGGAGATGTATCTCCGGACGCACCTTTTTTCATTTTTTATTTTATTTTATTTCGTAGATGCATCTACGGAAGACTTCCTTATTCATATTTACGGGAAAAAAAAACCCAGAAACAGAATGCCATAAAATCAACATTGCAACTATAAAGTCAACATTCAAAAAATAAAATTGGCGTTACATTGATAATTTTGACATAAATTTAAATATTACATTTCAATGCCTGGTGGACGTCTGCACATCTCTAAGATGTCATCGACCGTTTTTCGGACCGTCGCCTCCAACTCGAGCGGAATCTGCTCTTCGAAACCGAAATATGTTCGCCACATCGCTCTAACGTCGTCTTGATTCTTGACCTCAAACTTGATGTAAACAACATTCCTGTTGTTGTCAACTAAAAATGAACGATATTCAAGCTTCACAACCTTTCGTTTGTCATTGTAAGGTAGGCGATATTGGATCTCGTCTATGATATCGGCGAGGGGGTGAGATCCATGAGCTTGAACGTCCTCTTGAGTGTTTTGCCGTCGGAAAAGGAGACACATGCGACATACCAACGAATCTTGATTTCAAACAATTGAGACATTTTTGCATTTGTGTGAAAGATAACAAATGAAACCACAAATTAATAGAAAATCTAGGTGAATATGGATCAACCATTTTCTGTCAAACTTGTTTTCGAAGCTATATCCACGGAACGATCCTATAATTATTGATTCCGAATATGTATCTCCGAAACTTCCACTGAAACTGCATAATTAAGAACCTTCCGTAGATACATATTCGGAAGTTTTCCTACTACATTTTAAAAGCAGAACTCACTATAAAAGGACATTATAATAGACAAATAAAAGACATATGTGCAAATATAAGGTATGAGAATAAAATGTGACTATTTTGCATTTCAAAAATTTACAATTAGTCGTTCAATTATACAAAAATTCATAACGAATCAAAACAAGTGTCGCCGGTTAAATCTATTAGTGGTACCCCTTTGGACTTTTTCGCATTTGATTCCTTTTCAATGTTGTTCAATCTTTCGCATTCATGCATCCTTTCAACAAAATGATCCGGCCACGTCTCGGCATTTGGGGTTGAATGAGTCGCCCATTTCGGTGATATAAGTGGTATGGGACATCCCGGTTTCAAGTAAACTTGTACAAAATGTCTTGATTTTGCAAGCCATCCAATACACATGATGCGATCATTTGGATTTTGAGGTGGTGCGCCTGAGTCCAAAAAATATCTCGAACCGTAACTCCATCGTTGCAAGTTCTGTATCGGGACACGTAATTGTTATCATACAACAATTTCAACAGTTGTTGCATCTCACTTCTATCTCCCCTAATCGCCTTGTTAGTGCGGTACCGAATGTTATACACTTGCCTTATATTTGATATATTATCAGGTTCCTTCTGTTTCAATGTGGCAAGTATATTTTTCAATTGGACAAGATTCAGGTCATGTCATTAATACATGTCTTCTCTTCCGGCTTGACCCGACATACACTAGGATGGCCTTGTAACTTTGAGCACAAACCATGGTTATGCAAACCAAAAATAACACTAAATTTCCATTTTTTGCTACTCAACATGTAACCACGAAGCTTAAATGGACACTCGCATATTCTACTACCCGTGTCTTCTCTCTTAAATTTCCGGAGAGGAATTTGATATTTACCACTTCTTTTGCACAACAAAGTAACAAAACTGTTTCTTCTTTCCGAAATATTATTCGATCTTCCTATAATCACACCAAAACCAAGTCTCATTGCAATCCTACGAATTCATGTGAGCATGCTTTCACAATCATCAAACTCTTGCTTGTTATTAAAGTCAACGTCGACATCTACCGACTTCACGATAGTCCCTTGAACATTCGGAGAAATATCGTTTGAAGAAACTAATTCTTTTGAGATGTTATCGGGGTGCACCATATCTATTTGTAAACAATAAGGAAAATAAGCAAAAATTACAAAGCCGCTGGAAAAAATAGACGAAGGCGTTCCGAAGATGTACATCCGGAACTGTTCATCTTCAACACAACTCCGGAAGTAACTTCAATTTTTTCTCCAAAAGATTGATGATTAATGTGAGCAATATAGTGGACAAAAGGGGATTTTTAACTGAAATTCTATCTTCACTTGCTCCCTGTGATTTGTTGCACGAAAAGTTGAAGTTTTAGAGTGAAAATGATATTGATATTATAGGGTTTTTAGGTTGGTGAAGTGAATATGGAAGAAGAAAAGACAACAATGGAAGGGTGATCATGCAAGTTTAAAATATAGCATAAATTTTCGGAGCTGTATTTACGGGATAATTTAGCGCTCAGACGTTCCGGAGTTACAGTTTCAGAAGTTTTCCTATACTGATTTATTTTGAAGTTTCTTCATTGTATACCAATAGAAAATGCTTCCGTAGATGTAACTCCGGAACTAAACAAATTTTGACAAAAAAAATACCCTTAGATGTATATCTTCAAAAACATGAGGCATAAAAGAAATTTTACTAGATAGCTAAGAAGGCCAAAGGATGGGATAAGATATCCTCAAAAGTAATGCCCTAATTTAACAGCCCACTCCAAGATGTCTGGCCTGGCCCAATAATTTAATTAGAGGCGGAAGCAGTTACTTCTCACTCGGGGTAGTACCGGAAGACTGTGGAAGAAGAAGAAGCAGTAATGGAAGACGCAGAGGAAGAGCGACGTCGTCGTTTGAAGCTTGAAGAAGCCCTTGAAATCCAATCCCTCAGACGCATCATTAGCGCTTACCTCAAGTACAATCATTCGTCCCTTCCCCACTCTTCAATTTTTCAACTTCATTCGTAAATTATTATGATCCATTGAATTTTGTTCGTTTGACATATTAGTTTGATAATACTCGTTCTCTATTTTTGTTTCCATCGTAATATTCAAAATTCAACGTTTACGTGTTCACAAAGGTGCGAGCTTTGTAGTTAGAATTTGATTTTGCAAACTCCATAGACATAGTTCAAATCCCTTTGAAACGGTTTTAAAATGATACATAGTGTCACAGTCAATTGGTCACTTTTCAGTTAGTTAGTTGAAACAGAGTGGGTTATCCTAAGTGGTAATCCATAATTTCGAAATATATAGGTACACATTCACATAGTGTGATCCACAGGTTATCACTGAATACCGATTACACTTTTCGTTTTTCGTATTTCTTGATATTCTTGAATCCTAATAATAAAGTAAAAATTGAGCCTTTTCTTTTCTGTTTTCTGATGCAGCTATCCTGATGCCGCGGATGAGGATGTTAGAAGATATGAGAGATCTTTTAGGAAGCTTTCACCTGCCCATAAGGTATTTGTCTCTTCTGAATCTGCTTGATGTTTCCGCGAATTGATGCTTGAGCAAGATATGTATTGTTATTTCTAAGTTCTTGTAGACCAATGACTAACTTTCAGTCAGAGCCGCTATAGTCACCTCAAGAGACTCGCAAACACAGATTGAACGACTTCTTCCAACACCAATAGAGTCTCACAAAGAAACATCGCCCCTACCGCTCTGGTTACCACTTCCCTCGACTCCAGCGAGATATCCCTTACACTTATCAATTGTTTGAAAAATTCTTGTAAGCAGACATTGTCGCTTGCACCAGCTACCATGTTCTCCGCCTCTTATGTCGCCGGTAAGTCGGTAACGGAAAACTTGCTAGACAAGTTTTCAAAGCTATGCCAGTTGCCATCCACAACGTTGTCACATACCGCTCCCAAACTGTGTCTTTTTTCTTAGACTATGGTGTCGTATGAGATGGAACCACTAGGCCATGTGTGTTGTTATAGGAGAACAGTTCCATCTGGATGTAGGCTACTGGACCTAAGTTTTGTCCTAATGATATTCCTCAGTGTTGAACTGTTACTTCCGACTTTTTTGGGTAGCAAGATATGTTCTCTTTGGTCAATTCGGACTGTTGAATTGAACTTTTTGAACTCATACCCGTTACTGCTTGACATAAAGATGCAAAACAGGAAGGGCATGAAAACTTGAAAATGCCTTATGGATCTCACCTTGCCTGGTTTGCCACTTGCTCTTATTCTTTTTGCATTAAAATGACTGGTTATCGGCACATTTGGTAAATAGAGGAGTTGGAGCTTTCTTTTTTACCATTTATAAATAAGGAGAGTATGGTCGAAATTATGTGGCAAATCAGTCTACGATAGCATAAATTCATTCTCTATGCATGATTTATTAGAGGAATTATTAAATATTAAATCTTATTTAGCTCCTACATTAGAGCATTAATTGACTGTACAATGTCTACTGTCTAATAGTTTAATCAACATAGTTTCTATCTGTTCTTTTTTTGTTTTTACATTGCTTCTAGGAGTTTCTGTTAATTCTTTTGTTCCCCTGTTTACTGCACCTTTTTTTGGTGTGTTTGTAGGATTTGCTATCCCACTATCCTCTAAAGTTTGAAAAATTACGCAGGTACATTTTCTTAATCTTTTTCAATACTTCTTAGCTTCTCTCCTTTTTTTAATCTTATATTTTGAAGTTGAAAATGCTGAGATATTTCTAAGTTGATGCTGATGGCACTTAGAAGTTAGAACAGGGGATGAATTTAACTTGTTGCTGCATGGTTAACTTTGATTCCTCATCATAAAACCACATATGGATAATTTAATGATTGAAGCTTTTGAAAGTGCATATAAATAAGCTGTTTTAAGCTTTTAGCTTTTGTAGAACAACAGCTTATCTCATATCATGTTTTGGATGTTGCAAAATGTAAAGTTCACGGAAACACACCAATATAGTATTATTCTGAAAATGTTCAGGTTAATTGTATTAGAATTTATATTATATTTATATAAATATAATTAATTGTAAATTTGTATATTTGTATATATTGCATTCAATCTATAAATATAAATAGAGTCTGAACTAAAGTCAAAACACTGGGTTATAATGGAGAGGCTGAGTTTGATTGAAAAATGGAAGTTTAACTCGGTTTTGAATTTCTGAAATTTATGGATTTTGGCGCCTTCTTTGTGCAGGTGTATATCAATGAACGCTCATTTCATATTCGGCATGCTTCAGGTGCGAACCTATTCTCTCTGTGGCTTGCTCTGTTTTTATGTTATGGTAATATTTGACATAAGCCTGATGAACTTTTGTAGGCATTTGAACCTCCAATTGATATGAGCCAGGATGTAGATTTAAGTGCAGATCAACACCCTGAATATGTCCAAAAAGATCATTTAGTCCATGAAGGGATTAATTCTTGTTCATGTGAATCAGCCCCATTGAAAATAACATGTTATGTTTCTAATCGACATGGTTGTGTGGAAGGCAGCAATGATTCATGCAGATCATCTGTACTGGTGCATCCCAATGAGGTTTCTTCTGCATTCATGACTCCATTTTCTTAGTTTAGTACATGACTGTGTGATGTTTTGTTGGCTCTATTATTGTTTTTTTCATTTAGAAATTTGACTCTGTAGATAACGACAGGAAGTGAACATTGAGAGTCACCATCAGTCAAATACCGGTAATGGTAGCCATCCTTCAAACATGTTACATTCTAAAGAGACTAGTGAATATGGTGGAAGTGCTATTGCCGATTCCAATGGAAATGTAATTTCTTCTTGTCCGTGTCATTGTCAATTTTTTAGAGTAATTGGATAACTTTACTGGTCGTGATATCTTCCTTTACTATGGCACCGAATAACTTGTTTTTTCAAAATTAATATTCATTTGTTCCCCCCTCCCCCCTAGGCATGTCTAGGAATGGCATGATGAGACCTTGTTGCTTGCAGAATTTTATTGCATGTTGATTATTATGGCCAGTTGTTTTATGGAGGAGATGGAGGAGTTCCTATAAATTTATCTGCTTTTTTTCATCTTGATTCATTCTTCTTGTGTGGCCATATCCGGGCAAAAGATAATTCATAATTTTTAGTTTGACAGCTATTATATACCTAAGACAAAATTCCCCCGCTAGTGGACGGTGGGATTGGTCCCTTGGATTAATCGGTCGCAAGGCCGGATACCAAGATTTCAAAAACAAAAACAAAAAATACCTAAGACAAAATGCTCTTACAAAGATGTCAATATATGTATCAAATTCAAACTGCTAAGCAATTTTTAGTATAGTTGTTGATTATATGCTCATTTGGTTAAGGTTTTGGCTAAGGCAAGTGGGAAAGTTTAGTGTCCCTATGCCCTTTTTCTCAAAGCAATGTTATAGCTTCCACTTAAACTCCGTTAGAGAGCTTCCAAAATCTAAAACCGAATTGTCTTCTAGTAGGTTTAGTTTATTGTAGATCATACTAATGAACGTGTTATTAATCATACATCTGCCCTTTTTTAGCCCTTGTTTCTTTATTAATTCTAGGTCAGTGACACCTCATCACAGCAACATTGCATGGACCCATCTCTTCAGTTGAATGTTCCTTTAGTTGACGTTGACAAGGTATATTTATGTTCCAGCATCCATTCTTTCTTGTTGTCTTTTGTTTCAATGCTGATTTTCGATGGATTTTTATTGTAATGGGTAGAGGTTTTCATGGATGAATCAATAGTATAAAATAGATGATGAGTCCGTGACTGTATAGCACTTGTTAAAGAAATAGAACAGAAGATGAGAAGAACATGAATATAGACTTGATACCTAAGGTTTGAAATTGAATGCTTGAGTAGGAGAGTAGCTGGCCACAGACATGCCTTAATTCATAATTGCTCTTTTGTTTAGACAAAGAACTACTGCTGTTTAGTTGACCTCTTATTTTGCAATAATCTGATAGGACACCTAGGCATATCTAGAAGAAATTGGGGACCAAAGGGGATATAATATGTTAGTTAAGGAGGTGCACTGATGTCAAGGAAATGTGGTTATAATAGAGAGGGTGGGGGGAGTGAATCATTCATTCAGAAATGTTGTTAGAGTTGGTTAGGAGAGTTTTCTTTCTGCTTAGGAGCATAGTGCTCTGATTAGGAGTCTTTGACTCTGGTTTATCTTTCATTTTGCTGCTGTTAGAGCTTTTGTCAGTTTCCATTGAATAAACATATTGTTTCATAACTCTAAATTAGTGGGTTCTATCATAAACAGAAATAGAATCCGAGTCCTATGAGGCCTGGCACTCTTCCACTTGTCAACTAAACCTATAAGGGAAACTTGGATAAAAGTAGAGTGTGACTATAGCCAATTTGCCCTGTCAGTGCTTTGTGTTTGCATTATTTTGTTAGTATAAGGATTCTAGTGAAGTGACTGTTCTCATATGGTTTTGTTGCTACTTACATGCAATATATCACTACTTTTGTCTCAGGTGCGATGTATCATAAGGAACGTAGTTAGGGACTGGGCTGTAGAGGTACAGTTTTTGTTTCTACTTTGTTTCGAATGTTCTAATTATGGTTATAATATCAAAACTTTATTTGATACTTTCCCCCACTTTTGTATTAATAGGGTCAAAAGGAACGCGATCAGTGCTACAAGCCTATTCTTGAAGAGCTTAACAGTTTATTTCCTAATCGCAGTAAAGAGAGGTAAATTGTAATGAACTTAATAGTGATGTAAAACGCTTATTTGGGCTGAAGATTGTTTGTGCAATTTTTTTTTTGCTAAAATCATAAACTTTCTCAAACAGTCCACCTGCTTGTTTAGTTCCTGGTGCTGGACTCGGTCGGCTGGCTTTGGACATTTCATGTTTAGGTGTGTGTCTATTTCCAGGCTTACAAAGAAGTTACAGTTAGACGTGCTTTTGTTTTATGTCTAGCTAATGCATCTTATTATGATGCAGGATTTATCAGTCAGGGGAATGAATTTTCGTACTACATGATGATATGCTCAAGTTTTATTCTTAACCAGTAAGAACAAGTGCTGTTTATTCCTTTTGATATTTTAATGTTACAAATTACCTATTGACAAGTCACAATGCAAAGATTGCTCTTCTGATTTTTACGTTTTTCTCTCTTGTCAATCAATTGGCTCATTTGGATAACTTAAGCTGTGAAACTGCTGGTGAGTGGACAATATATCCTTGGATTCACAGCAATAGCAATTCACTTTCAGATAGTGACCAACTTCGTCCTGTTTCAATACCAGATATTCATCCTGCCAGGTACATTGTTTCTCTTAATAAAAACAATAAATTAGGAGGAAAGAATGAATAAAAAGAAAGGAACCATATTATGTCTTAAACTGTCTACCATGGATATTCCGTGAAAGAAATAGGGGTAGGGATTTCTTGGAAAAGAAACAACTCTTCCTCAATGTTTGAATTATAGAGAGCCTTCCTCTTAAAAGTATACTCTAAAAAGAAGAAAATCAGAATCATGCTAGACCTAGCTGATTGATTTTTTTCCTTCATCCTCTAATGGTTTTTCCCTTTAGTGGATCTTCTTTTTCTGTCTGAAGTGTCATGATGATGAACTAGTTGGCTCACATCCTAGGGAGACGTCGGTGACAGTTGTCCAAATTAGTGATCCATGCCAAATGAAGTGTTTTTCTGGAAATGAAGTGTATAGTAGCAATTCCTAGATTAGCATCCAATCTATTCTTAACGCCTACGGAATCACCAATAGTTTGCTGTCAGTAGTAGAAGCTCATGGAAGGGCACAATGATCCTCTGGCTAAAGCCATGTTTGCTCATGGAAGGAAAGGGCGCAATGATCTACTGGCTAAAGCCATGTTTCAGATGTTGAATTTTTCAGACACTACCCCCTTTCGTTAAGGATTGACGGCAAAAGTGGCACACATTATATATCCTTTCTTTTCTCCTATAGGTTCTAAGCTGGGTAGTATTTTTAGTTCTATAGGAAATTCTTTAAGACAAAGGAGAGGATAATTAGGAGAGGTAGGAGGATTGCGACAAGTTTCAACATTTTTCCCACTCAACGATATTTTTCATTCTTCGTATTTATATTTCTGCCAATTGATTTGCTTAAATAAACTAAATTGAATTTTGCTTCTGTCCAGCTAGCCTCCTAGTTTAAATTCAAAAGTTTTTCAGTGAGGCACTGGAAAAGACAGTATAGCTTGTATAAATACTAAATCATCAATAGTTTGTTTGATATAATATATATCTTTTAATCTTAATATTGTTTTGTTACAATGTGCGAGAGCAGTGCAGGAATTACTGAAGGTTTTTCCATGTGTGGAGGTGACTTCGTTGAAGTCTACGGTGATGCAAGCCAAATAGGTAGGAGAAACTATCTGCAACTATATTTCTTTCTTATTTGTTATATTATATCAGTGGCTCTAAATAGGTAGGAAAAATTATCAATAATATAACACCCTATCCCTATTGTAATTTATGACAAGTTTTTACAATGGCCATGCAGGTGCATGGGATGCAGTTGTAACTTGTTTCTTTATTGATACTGCGCACAATATTGTCGAGTACATTGAAATTATTTCACAAATTTTGAAAGATGGAGGAGTAAGTTCTTTAATTGAAATTCAAATAGAATTTGTGTATCTCTTTTTTCCTTCATGTCCGTTTGTGCTCCTGTTGTCTTTCTCATTTCGATATTGTCCTTCATACTGAATGAACTTGACACCGTCACAGGTTTGGATAAATTTGGGCCCTCTTCTTTATCACTTTGCAGATACGTATGGACAAGACGATGTGAGATTCTTTTCCCATACAATAGCAAAAGCACGATCCTATGTGTGGTGTCTTTATCATCTAATTTGTAATTTGTATGTAGGAAATGTCGATTGAATTAAGTTTAGAAGATGTTAAAAGGGCTGCATTGCATTATGGATTTGAGTTTGAGGTAATCTCATTTGATATGGATAATGGCCCTTCTATTTATGACGGTGACTAATCGTGTTCACATTTGTCTTGTCATGGATTGCAGAAAGAAAGGACCATTGAGACAACCTACACAACCAATCCTAAATCAATGATGCAAGTAAGTTTTCACTTAGATCAAAATTGTATAGTATTGAAAAATTGTTTGATGTGCTACAAATCACCTTATATTACAAGAGAGGATGTGTTACCTTCATAAACCGTATGATTCATAGCAAATCATTAACAATGAACACACTGAAAACTTCTGTTTCTATTTATATATGCTAAAAGAATTGTGTTACTCTTTGCAGAATCGTTACTTTGCCGCATTTTGGACAATGAGAAAAAAATCGGCAGCAACTCGGAAGCAAGTGCCCTGAGGTGGGGGGACATGATTGTTGTGATATAAGTTAATATCATATGACTTTATACCTTGATGAAATGCGTAACATTCTCGCATTCTTGAAATCTTATACAATTTGTTCTTTATTGGAATTTTAATTTGTGACATTTGGTTATAGAAATGTATATCATGAATATTTGTTTTTGACATTGATATGCATGCAGGATTTAAGTCTTCATTTTAAGCACTTTAAGCACTTTTACCATTGTCCTTTTATAAAAATCAGATTTTTTTTGAAATTTACCTGGTTTTATTGGAAATTTACAGTATTTACCGAAAAATTTTGAATTTTTTATTTTCTAAAGAAAATTTTGAAATTTTCAATAAAAAATAAATATTTTCGAAAAAAAATATGAAGAATACATGAATTTAAAAAAAATCCAAAATTTTCAAAATTTCCTTTTTATCCTATTGGAAATTTCAAAATTTCTGGTACACAACTGAAAATTTCGTAATTTCAGGTATAGTACTGAAAATTTTGAAATTTCAAATAGTGTTAAAAAAATTCTTTTTTATTGAATATGAATGAACAGAAATTTCATTTTAGTCAAAATTTTTGATATAAAATGGAACATTTAGAATTTTTGGTAATATTTTTAAGTTCACATAAATTTTAGGAATTATAGTATATCGGAAATTATATATACATTATTGAAAATTTAGTGTGTACTGGAAATTTTAATATGTCTAATGGAAATTTCGTATGAAAATTTGTTTTAATTTTTTTAGGGGCAATTTTAGAATTATGAAATTATAAGGGGGTGTTAGGTCAAGTTGAAGGTTGGCAAGTTAAATGCTACAAATAGTATATAGAAAAACAAAAAGTTTGGTGTGGGTTTAAGAAAATATTTTATTGCAAGCAACACAAGCACGAGGATTTAACTTGACACCCCTCGGTTAGACCTAACACCCCTAATGCGTATGAAAAGATGACATTGCCCTAACAGTGAGTTTTTCAAAAAATTTGATAGAGTCCACTGTGAGTTCGAGGACTCGTCATTATATTAAGGTTATATGCGATGGGAGACAATGGTTGCTAGACACTTGCCTGAGAAGTGTCTACGACAATATGATTATGTTTAGAGTATCCCACGACCAGTTTTAGATATACCATCTTCAAATATTGATTGGTGATTTCAAAGTAACTTCATCAGCTCTGGTCGTGCCATTAGAGATCGAGTAGTCACTGTTCAGCAACCCTGATAGTGTGAGAAGGGTTATTTAGAGTGGTGCCTCACTATGTCACACCCTCACATTACCCCATCTACAACTGATGTTAGGCCTTCTGATGTCGGGGTACTTGTTGATGACGTGTCAGGGGGAGGGGTTGGGGGCTATTTATATATCTTTTGTATTATGCATGATTTATATCATTTGTATATTATTCAGACATCTTTATCATAACTCTTTATTTGCTAATATTATTGATCTTCCTTAAATTGCAATGTCCACATTAACCAACATTTGACAATGGATTACATAACTTAAATAGAAAAAAACATAGCACTATAATATGATTAATAAATAAGAAACACCTAAACATTATCAGACGTTTCTGGACGTTTCAGCATCTTCGTTATGTCGTCAACAGATCTTGAAAGTTTAGCATTTAACTTGATCGCCCCCTTTGTTATCCTACAGAGAAATGATCTCCACATTTTCTTCACATCTTTGTCGGTCTTCAACTCAATAAAGTTGTATTTCACTCTCCCGTCAGTATCTATCCAATCTTCACCAAACTCGATCTTTCTCACCTTTATATGTTCGACATCAGGCAACAATTCATTCAACTTGGACGTCAGGCCGCCAAGAGATATGGTGTCATCTATAAGCTGGAACTCTACAGGAAGAGAAGCTTCGTTGAAGCACACTTATGCCTTAATTAAAAATTGAGGAAGAGGCATTTTTTGAGACGTGTTTATCAAATAACATGTGACCCCTTATTTATACAACTTCGCATTGACTATGGACCACACAAATTGTCGGTGCAATCACAGTCACGCAAAACCATCGAAAAAATCTTGAAGATCTAAAAAATCAAACAAATAACACTACCGAAAATTTCACTTAGGTTGAAATTTTTGGTATTTACATGTAAATTTCAAATTTTTAGAACTTACTGAAACTTACCTAAAATTATGAAATTTCATGTATACCAGAAATTTCAAATACATTATTGGAAATTATGTTCAGTACCGGAAATTTCATTATAACTACCAGAAATTTTGAATAGAAATTTGGTCCCTTTTTCACCCAGGGACAACTTTAGGAATATGAAAGATTGGGGATGCAAGATATAAAATGGAGGTGGTAGGTTAAATTCTCCATAAGCATTGATTTCATGAACATGCAACTAGTAATTGCTACTCATACAAGCTACAATTATGTTTGGGTACTCTCATGTAATCAAGCTTAGATTTAAAAGTTATAAATTATAATTTCTAAATAGAATCGATCCTTTTCTTTTAGAATATCAAACATGTCAAACTTAATCATTTTTGTCTATTCCAAAGTAGAACCAAACATGCACTTAATGGTTTCGCTGAATGTGAAATGAGAGTTGGAATGATAAAATGTCAAGACGTACTACACAGTACTAGTAAAATAGTGTCCTCTCAGGACATAGCTAATGTGAGGGTAATGCTTTTTCCATCTTTGGTTGTGTCACACACCATTGAAAATTCAAAAATGCCTTCATCAATGGAAATACCTAAAATCATGCATATCTAATCTTTTTTGAGTTTCACTTTAATTTTTGAAGAAAAAAAAGTCCGAAGATGCATATTCGTATCATATTTGAGTGTATTCGATGATGCATCTCTAAAATACCTCCAAAACTCGTTTATGAGTTTGTTATAAATGCAAACGATTTAAATAACAACTCAATGGTATTTTTAGAAAGGCCAGCGAGAAAGTTGATAAAACACCACCTTACATGAGCTTCTTCTTCATGCTAAAAAAATAAATCATAGCAAAAGCCTTGAAATTTTTTATCTCATTCTCAATCAATTTTTCAACACCAAAACATCATTCTTGTATTTCATCACTTTAAAGGGAGCGAAAAAAATCTAAAATTACAAGTAAATATCATTCATTTCATCTTCAGATACACATTCTAATTTTTTAAAAAATAAAATAGGGGATTATCCGGAGATGCATCTTCCGACAGACCCTTATTTTTTGAAAAATAAAGGCGGATCCGCAAATGTATCTCCGAAGTATTTCATGCAGATAAGATTAGGTCTGTAAGGTCCTTATTGCTCTACAACTTCTATAAATAGGATCTCACATTCCATTTTTTTTTACAAAAACCAAAATGAGTACATATCCCCATCTTACATTTGTGTATTTCAATGGTGCAAAATCCCCCACTTCGATTTCGGATCTCCGAGGACATACTTCTCGTTGATCTAAAAACCAAACTGAATATTCTCCTAAAATATCCAAAAAATCGGAGAGTTGTCTAGTTCGAGTACCATTCCCCCTATATAAAAAATGAATGGAACACACAGTTCACAATGCTTGAACTGAAGACGGGTGATGATTTGATGGTGATGTGGACTATCTTTTATCGTTACTCAAGAAATGATCTGATAGAAGTGGATGCAGTGATTTAAAAATCAACCGGAGATATTATAAGAATGTTGCAAAGTTCTTAACCACCCGTTTTTAATAACATGTATTGTTAAATTTATGTAACTTTTATTTATGTAATGTTTATTTTGGAGTTAATTTATGTTGATTTTCCATTTTGCCTATTTCTAGTTTGATCTAACAAAGCATTTTCTGAAGATGCATCTCTAGAAATATCACTAACTAATGAACTAAGAGGGCTTACGTAGATGCATCTCCAAATCAACCTTTCGTACATACAGAGTTGCATCTCCGCATCAAATTTTAACATAATAAGGTTTCTCACCATTTTTGCCTCAGCTGTGTGTTGAAAATGTGCATCCAGAGATGCACCTCTGGACCCTGGAGCCATTGTAGGCTTTTCACGGTGACATGTGAGAACCTCTAAGGATGGAAAGAGCAACCCCTTAATGTGATGACATAACACATATTTAGTATTTATTGTGGAATTCAAAGGACAACAATCTAGTAACTCTACATATTTAAAGGGAATTGTTAATTCCACCCTAAGAGGTGGAAAAACACCATATGAACATTTAAAAATGCTCATCAGATATCAGAAATACATTTTTGGACACACTTTGTGCCTCACTGAAACACGCCTCAATTGAGACTCACCCTATTTTTTTTCAAAATTTATTCTAGAGACGCGTCTCCAGACTCACCCCAATAATCTATTTATAATTCAACAACCCAATGACTTTTTCGGAAGTACATTTTATAAATTGTGAAACGGGAATTTGAAAACTTGCCACCTTTGCATGTCAGTCATTTCCGAAAATATCAAACGTGATTTTTATCAAAACAACAACTTGCATGATCAAACTCCATAACCATTTTTTTTTCAAAACCCTTACAAAAAATCATTTCATTCTTAATCAAGATTTTCACTCCAAAAATTCAATCTTGTGTTTCATCACATAAAAAGGAGGAAAACATGCTGGAATTCAAGTTAAGGTAGTTAGTTTAATTCCTCATTGCTCACTTTAATCTTGTTTTGTAGCTGAAAAAGTTACGTTGCGTCCAGAAATGTATTTCTGAATTCTGTATGAATTTCTCCGGAAGTGCATTTTTGGAGTCTGACTATTTTCATTTTCAGTCAGTCTATGTTTATTTTCAAACTATCTTTGAATATTTATGTTATTTTTTGCATTAGATATGATGCACCCCAAAATGTTTTTCCCAAACCTATTGTGTCTCCGGAACTCAAACATGTTGATGTGAAAGAGATAAATGTTGGCAACCAATTTAAAAATGGACAAAAGTTTAAATTTCGTGATCAAATGATCCAATGGATTTGTACAGAGGCTTCCAAATTTTTGGTGTTGTAATCGGAAGGTTGAA